GTCTAGGGTTTAGGGTTTAGGGTTTAGGGTGTTTCAGGTCCAGTCCCTCCATGCTACAAACCCCACCGAGTGCAGCAGCAGCGGCAATCTGCTTCAGCGCAAAATGCTGCAGCAGCAATAGAAGGTGAGCATTTGCTGCTGCTGGAAGTGAGATGTTTAGGGTTTAGGGTTTAGGGTTTAGGGTTTTGTGGGTTTTGCCTCAGCCCAGTGCAGGCGTCAGGCTTCTCTGGACGTGATTGAGTTCCAGGAGCAGCAGCAGCGGCAGCAGCAGCAGCAGCAGCAGCAGGACAGCAGCAGCAGCAGCAGCAGCAGCAGCAGCGGGAAGCGCCTGACTGAAGAGCAGGCCCTGGCAGTGCGGCGCATTTTAGCAGCAAAAGGGAGAGGCTGCTCTATGGTTCTGCAGGTCCAAACCCTAAACCCTAAACCCTAAACCCTAATTTTGCCCCAAGCCCTTTATTCTCATGCAAATTTGCTTTCGCCTGTTAAATCTTCCTGCTTCGGGCCTAGCCATAAGGGCCTAGGGCTAGGGCCTAGGGTTTAGGGTTTAGGGTTTAGGGTTTAGGGTTTAGGTGTTGTTTAGGCGGGGCATCTCGGGGGTTCAGATGCTTTAAAAGTGGCTCAAAAGAAATATCGCGTTTTGGCCCTGCAGGTCCACCCAGACAAGAACCCTCACCCACTTGTAAGCTGCTGCTGCTGCTGCTGCTGCTGCTGCTGCTGCTGCTGCTGCTGCTGCTGCTGCTGTTGCTGCTGCTGCTGCTGCTGCTGTTGCTGCTGCAGTTGCTGCTGCTGCTGCTCCTGATGTTGCTCCTGTAGTTGCTGCAGTTGCTGCTGCTGTTGCTGATGCTGTTGCTGATGCTGCTGTTGCAGTTGCTGCTGCTGCGGGTACGATTGCTGCTGCTGCTGCTGCTGTGTCCCTGGGTTTGCTGCCACTACTGCTGCTGCTGTTGAGGCTTTTGGGCTTGGCGGGGGTGCTGCGCTGCTGCTGGCAGTGCTACAGCAGCAGCAGCTGCTGCTGCGTCTCGCTGTTCCAAGACTTGCTGCTGCTGCTGCTGTTGCTGCTGCTGCTGCTGTTGCTGCTGCAGGCAGCAGAAGCCATGCACCTGCTGACTGCGGCGCTGCAAGAAGCAACGACTCTATTCCGCCGGTCTTCGCACTCTGCTGGCCGACTCTAGGGTTTAGGGTTTAGGGTTTAGGGTTTAGGATTTAGGGTTTGGGGTTTGGGAGTTCTTGTCTTTTTAAAGTTTTGGCCGCAAAAGGACGGCAGACATTTTGCCCCTTGGGGGCTCAGCTTGCATTATGTGGCGCGTGCAGCTTCAATTAGGGTTTAGGGTTTAGGGTTTAGGGTTTTGGGTTTGAATGGATTGATAGCTGCTTCAGGGGAGCCAGTGGTTTAGCTCCGGGTGTCTAGTTAGGCTTTGGCTGCTGCTGCTACTGTTAGTGCTATTGCTGCTGCAGCTGTTGTTGCTGCTGCAGATGCTGTTGCTGCTGCTATTGCTGCTGCAGCTACTTTTGCTGCTTTAGCTACGGCTACCGCTGCACTGGCTGCTGTTGCTGCTGCAGCTGCCGTTACTGCTGCATTGGCTACTGTTGCTGCTGCAGCTGCTGTTACTACTGCAGCTGGTGTTGCTGCTGCAGCTGCCGTTACTGCTGCAGCTGCCGTTACTGCTGCAGCGGCTGCTCTTGCTGCTGCTGTCGCTGCTACTGCTGCAGCTGCTGTTACTGCTGCAGCGGCTGCTCTTGCCGCTGCTGTCATTGCTATTGCTGCAGCTGCTGTTCCTGCTGCAGCGGTCGCTCTTGCTGCTGCTGCTGCTGTTACTGCTGCAGCGGCTGCTCTTGCTGCTGCTGTCGCTGCTACTGCTGCAGCTGCTGTTGCTGCTGCAGCTGCTGTTGCTGCTGTCTCAGCTAGCCACTGGGCATTCTGGAAAGTATCTTTCAATTTCTTTATTTTTTTTTCCTGTCTTTTCAACTGCTTGCTGCAGTGCCCAAAACTGCTTGGGGTGTATGTACACCGCATGGCTGCTGCGGCTGATGGCGGTGGGATGCCGAGGGACTCCGCCTTGCTGCAGCAGCAGCAGCAGCTGCTGCTGCTGTTGTGCTGATGGGTCCTCGCTGCTGCGGCCTCAGGCTCTAGTTTTTGGAGCGGCAAATAGGTGGGAATTGCTCTGTCTAGAGTGTGGGGTCGAGGGTTTAGGGTTTAGGGTTTAGGGTTTAGGGTTTAGGCTTAACAGGCGTCCAGCCGCTCCGTAGCTGCTGCGTTGCAGGTCGTGGGTCTGCAGGGCAGCAGTAGAAGAAACTTGATTTATTTTGTCTTTCTTTTATTTATTTTATTTTTTAAACTCAAAAATAAAGAGTCAGAGGCTCAGACAAGCCCCTTACTGCTGCTGCTGCTGCTGCTGCTGCTGCTGCTGCTGCTGCTGTCGCTGACTAGAGAGGCCTCTAGGGCCTCCCGCGGCGCTGCTAGCTGTTGGCGCCCACTGGGGCAGTTCAGAAGCGTTTTTCTCGGTTTAAGTTTGTGAAATTGAATTAATTTGAAGAATAAAATAAAATAAATTAATTAATTTCATTTAATTTGATTGCTGCTTCGCAAACGGGCTCAGACACCCGCGCCTCCGCCGCCGCATCGGTTGCCGCAGCCTCGAGCCTTCCGCGCCTCTTCTTTTCGTCTTCTGCGCCAATTCGCCGTTTATTTTCAAATTCTTTTTCACCTTTTGCAATTTATTTATTTATTTACCTCCATTTGGCTCCTTTTGAGCCCCCCAGAGCTGCTCTTTTCCCGCTGCTGCTCCCCGCCGGCGCCGACTGCAGCAGAAAGGCCCCATGAGCAGCAGCAGCGAGTCCGAGGGAGGCCCCCAGGCCTCCCGGGGGGCCCCCCTGGGGGCCCCCCTGCTCGGGGGCCCCCCGGGGGGCCCCCTGGGGGCCCCCCCAGTATGCCCTTACGAGGCCTGCCTCGCAGGGGCCCCCCTGCAAGCAGCAGCAAGAAGCTACAGAGCAGCAAGAGCTGCTAGGGCGCGGCGGCGGCAGCAGCAGCAGCGGCAGCTGCTGGCCATAGGCGTTTTGGTTGCTGCTGCTGCTGCTTCCTTCTTTTCGCGGAGACAGGGGGCCCCTGGGGTTGCGGAGGAGGGGGAGGGGGCCCCCCCCTCCGTGCTGCTGCTGCTGCAGCAGGGACAAGCAGCAGCAGCAGCAGCAGCAATTTGGGCTGCCTTCAAAGACTTCACTGCTTCTGCAGCAGCAAAAAAGCTGCTGTTGCCGCTTTTCTTCGCAGTTGTGCTGCGCGTGGCCTGCAGGAAGCTAATTCACTACATGGAGGGCCCCACCCGCTGCCGCCAGCAGCAGCAGCAGCAGCAGCA